TCCGATCCGCCAAGCCAAGCCCGCATTTATAAGACCCAGAACGGGCCCACCCGATCAAGAACGCCCAGGTGAGCGAACTATCAAGCTATCACATAAGGTTATCACGGCCGTCCGTACCATCACGCGGCTCCGATCCCCGTGATATCGGATTTTGCCACCGCCATCGGGCCGGTCGAAAATCCACGTTATCTGCACTAACGACAACGAGACGCGAACGTCACTCGGTCACCGGAAAAAATCGGAAATTTGAAAACGCCGGTGTGCGAGAACCAACCCCCACCCCCAGGCGAAAGTTTTCCTTTCACCCCGTTTTCAAAAAGCACTCATAACTCCGGCTACAAAGGTCCCTCGACCCCAGGACTCGAGGGCCAGAGGCACCTCCCGGACGAGGTCCCCCCAACCGCAAAAAACGATTTTTTTTTCCCCCAGGCCTTCGCGACCCCGTTTTAGGTTAGCTAGCCATGCCGTCCTCAGTCCCCGAAGAATGGGACATGGACCAAGACCCGGCCAACAACGCTCAACAAAAGAGGAAACAAGCGAGCTCTCCGACCATGAACACACCGACCAAAAAGAAGACGCCTAAGATCTCAATCCCTTCTAAAACACTGACATCAACGAAAACACCGACTACAACAGACACTGTTGGTGCGCTCAGCGCAGCGACCAGAGCCACCGAATACGCCTGCGAGCTCGTACAAAGCCTCGCCGACGAATACTACACCGAAGAACTCATCGGCCCGTGCTTGTCGAAAGTCGTCAGAGCACTGGAACAGGTCTGCAACGCCCTGAATCTCCTGGCCAAGGACCAACGCCCGCCCCCCGATAAAAAGGACGCCGCCACTGTCACCGAGCCTGCCGCTCCTAAATTGAAGAACGCGCCTAACAAAGGTAACAAACAGCAACACAACAAGAAGTGCACCAGATCGAACCTCGACGCCAGGACCCCTGCGCACAATGCCCCACCTCAGGAAACCCCCACCCCGACCTCAGCCGAAACCGAAGAAGCCAAAGACGAGCCCTACACGCTCGTAGGGAGACCCGCCAGGAAACCAAACGCCCCCACAACGCGACTCTCCAGATTGGCCCTCCAACGACCAGCTGCCGTGCTTGTCAAGGTCCTCGAAGGCCGGACCTACGCCGACACACTCCGCCCGCGAAGACCAGAACCAGCCAAGTGCTACCAGTGCCACAGTTTCGAGCACGCCACGCGACAGTGCACCGGCCCAGATCTGTCCTGCGCCTGCAGGAGATGCGGCCAAAACGGTCACACTGATTCCACCTGCACCGATTGCGAAGACAAATGGTTGGCATGCGATCACATTAAGGCGGTACGTATACCACACAAGCCCGGCTCAGGGGCCTGTGCCGCCCGCAGGAAAGCCATCGCCGAGATGAACGCCTCCTCCAACCGAAGATGATCACGTTCCTCCAAATAAACCTCCACCGGAGCGCAGAGTTTGCTCCAGCAGACCGCCGCCGCTACCGACACACAAGTTCTTCTGCTATCGGAATACAACTGGAGCCCTCTACGAGACGACAAGTGGGCGGTGAGCGACGATCGCTCATGCGCGGGTGCACTCACGTCGTCGGCAGGCTTCGCCCCCCGAGTCGTCCGGGGCAGGTCGAGGGTTCGCCTGGATTCAGGCACGCGGCACCAGGATGTACAGCTGCTACTCCTCCCGCAACGACTCGGACGCTGCTTTCTCCGCCTTCCTCTCGGACATCGAAGAGTCCGTCCGTTCAACCGACCCTCAAGTCTCCATAGTCGTAGGAGGCGACTTTAACGTCTGGTCCCAGGAGTGGGGATCCGCGCGGAACGATTCCAGAGGAGATCGGCTCGCAGACCTTGCAGCCAGCCGGAACCTGCTCGTCGCAAATGAGGGCACCACCCCCACCTATCGGAGGTCAAACGCCGAGTCGATCATCGACGTAACATTTCACCGCACCCGACCACCCGTGGTCCTGCGCGGCTGGAAGGTGCTCGAGGACGCGGATTCGGCCAGCGATCACTCCTATTTACAGTTCCGGCTGGAAAAGGACGCCGACGTCGAAGACAACACCGAACGACTCAGGGGCTGGTCGTACAGGCGGTTGGACTACGGAGCCTTGTCGACTCACCTGGCCGCAGCACCTCTGCCCCACATCGACGAAAACACAGCCACCAACGAAGCAGCCGATCAACTTAGAGAGTATCTGGCATCCGCATGCGACGCTTGCATGCCGCCGAGAAGAGCTCCTCCGGCCAATATACGTCAGGTCCATTGGTGAAAACCGCAGATCAAAGCTCTACGCGAGGAGTGCGGAAAACTGAGGAGAAAATACCAGAGGTCTTCTCGCAGGCACGATCCACCCGACCTAATCGGACTCTCCCGAGCAGATTACACAAGGACGAGGAAAGAACTCCGGATCGCCATCAGGTCCTCTCAGGAAAAAAGCTGGTCTGAGCTGTGCGCGGCGGTCTACTCCGATCCTTGGGGACTTCCCTACAAGGTCGTCACCAAGCGAATTGGAGGTCGACGCCCAGGTACAGAAGCCAGAGGCAGAGAATCGGAGATCGCGGACCACCTGTTCCCCAACCATCCGGCCACCGACTGGTCTCAAGAACCTCCCCCTCCGGAGCACGCCGACCACGGACTGCCGGCGCCAGAGTTCACAGCAGCGGAACTCCGCGAGGCGTCCAAGAGACTACCACCCAGCAAGGCGACCGGCAAAGCCGCTCTCCTCAGACCTCTCTCGCTGATCGGGGTCTTCAACAAATGTCTCGCCCACACCACTTTCCCAGAGCGATGGAAAGAGTCGAGACTTGTGCTCCAGAAGGACACAGGCCCAAAATAACCAGTAGGTATTACGTGTAAGTCCCATTAAAATTATATTAAAAATATATTATTAACAATTGTAGACTATATAATTAAATTTACTATTTAATTATAGATACATCCATTCACCAAATTTGAAGTTCAAAATAGAGCATTTTCATCAAGTTTCTATACTAAATTTGTCTAGATTGAGTACAGTGAAAAAAATTATGCAGTTTTCTGTTTTAGTTGTCGTAATTTGACAAATAATACTCATGATGATAAATTTGATAATACTAACGGCATTAGAAACTGGAGAAAAGTAAATTTAAACTTTTAAATATATAGGGAATATGACGAGTAATAAGTAATAACATATATTTACAAATTTAATTTAGTTGAGTGATAAGTTGAATAGACACCAGAAATCATTGTCACATATGTATATCAAGATTTTGTTTAACTACCTACTAAAATAAATCATATCGGTACATTATTACCTACTTATTAAAATAATTTATAATTACTGTGTATGTAGGTAATTTTAAAGAATTGTTCAAATTACACTCCAAATATGATGATACCTTTTTAATTATATTCAAACAAAAGACAAATCATACTAGTTGGATAGTGCCAAATGAAATATTAAACATATGTGCTACTTTTATTACTGATAGTATATCAGAGGAAATTAAAAATAGTGGAATGAATGAAATAATGTGTGATGAAGCCAGGTCATTATATTTTTAAAGTTTAAACTATACATCCCTTCTTAATATTTACTAAATTAGTTACTAACAATTGTATTGAATTAATAGATTATAGATCCTATAAGCAAGAGCTGTTATCACTTTATATTCGGTATGTTAAAGGCCTGGAAGTAAATGAGAGATTTATTTGTTTTATGGATGTTTCAAGTGGAAGAGGTGACTCATATTTAGCTAGTACAATTTTTACTGCAATTCAAAAGTATAATATTCATAAAATACCATTAGTAGATCAATCTTATGATGGAGCTAATGAAATGTCAGGGTCAATATCTGGAGTTCAACAAAAAATTCGAGAACACTATCCAGAAGCAGTATATATTCATTGCTTAGCTCATAAACTAAATTTAGTTGTTTGTAATACTTGCGGTAGTATCAAGGTACTGAGTGGTTAACTTTTTATAAACATTTTGAATTTTATTATATTTGTAATACTATTTTATTTTAAATTTAAATTTTATAAAGGAAGCAGGGCCATTCTTTAATGCTTTTGAAGCTATATATGTTCACTTTTCTCAACCTGGTATTAATAAGGAACTGACTAATTTGTTATCTGAAATAAAAATTATACCATTATCCATCACAAGATTGTGTGAAACAAGATGGGCATGTCGCATCAAAAATTGTGATGCAGTTCTCAACAATTTTAGTGCTATAATTAGCATTTTGATAAAAGAAGTTGACGAAGGTGTAAATAGGGATGTGCCACAAACAATTGGTAACAATAAATTATATGAAGATTTTAATTTATAATGATTAACACATTGGAGACGACCATTTTTTAAGGCATTGTTACGTTGAAGACGCTTACCGTGTTTAAAACGGGCAATATTTTTGCGTCTAAAAGACGAACGCCGTGTTTTACAAGAAATCGTTTAAGTATATCGATATTTAATTTATATTCAATTATATTATTAATTGTATTAAAATATCGCAATACCAACAATTGTTTTTAAAAAACTAACATTTTTTTCGATTATATTATATTATAGTCGAAAAAATATAATAAATAATTATGTCGTTGACATTTCATTGAGTACGATGTCCTGGGGGTCAATTCTCGAACGGCGCTATCTAATAGTCGTATACGACATAAAGGAATTGTCGAACGATTTTTATTATTTCTTATTCTTCAATTTCATACGACACGCTAGCGAATGAAAAGTCGTACGACTTCAAAACGTATGACTATAACCACTCGTCAAGAAGTAGTCGTAGACTACTTTGTATGCCTCCATGGATAATGTTGTATTAATTACAATAACCACACACAATTTAGATAATATATCTACGACGTATCACAGTAGTTAATAAATAGGTACCTAGTTCCGACGTGCCCGTATTCCGAACGTTTAAAAAGTACTAAGTTGTAATTTTTATTCATATTTCATTAGGATCTAGCTACTTATATAAAATACGTACCAATTTAAATATAACTATGGCTAATTTTGATGAGTTGGCAAATTTAATTGCAATTCAAAATGCACAACACCAGCAATATTTTTAAAGAAATCCAAGAATTCGCAATAATAAGATTATTAATTCTTTTGAACTTTCGGACTCGGCATTTATAAAAATTTACAGACTAACTAAGAATTTGACTAACATTTTGATACGACAATTATGTCCGTATCTAAAGATAAAAAAAAGATCATCTGATTTAGACGCATCAACAAAGGCAAGTTATTTAGATTAGATAGGTACCTACATACTTTTATAATATAAAACATCCAAACTTTTTATTTATATGACTTTTATACACAGATAAACACCTATATGAGTAAAATTACTATTATTATCATAGAACAATATTATTATTTAGCTACCAACTATTAATAATTTTTTTTTTAGGTTTTGGTGGCTCTTAATTTTTTTGCCACTGGTAGCTACCAGACCCCAGTTGGTAATAGCCGATTTACTTCGATATCTCAGAGTTCTGTATCTCGATGTATCGAAGAAGTTACTACTGCATTAAACGAGGATGATATTTTTGGTTCTTGGGTAAAATTTCCTGGTAATATAAGGGAACTTAGGAAAGTCCGCAATGAGTTGGCTTATACTTATATAGTTATATATCAGTTCTAAATAAACTATATAGGTACTGATAAACTTGTTATCTTGATCAATCTTGATCCAGTTTGCTAAAATATAAGTTGAAATCGAAGCACACTTTCTGGTAGAAATTTTGTATATAGGATTAACTAAAAAAAAACCATTGTAAAACCACTAGATCCTTCACTAAGCTCAGAATTCAAAATCATTAGGGTCTATGCTGCTGATACAGTTCTTCCACCTACCCCCTCCCCCCTGAAAAATATCCCTAGTTGTGTCTATAATACAGTAATGTTAGAATACATTTAAAATAATGAGCTGCTGAACTAATATATTATATTATATAATACAATATTTTACAGTTACTTCTCTTTACTATTTAATTGAAATTTCACCAAAAATTAATTAAACTATAATTACAAAATTTTAGATTTTATGAAACAACTGGTTTTCAAGGTTGTGTTGGATGCATTGACTGCACACATGTGGCTATTATTCCACCTATTAAATATCCATTTAATGCAAATCCTGAATATATTTATATTAATCGAAAAGGATACCATTCAATAAATGTCCAATTAGTTGAGTACTTATATACATTCACTTAATTTGATTTGATAACTTTCTTAACTATAAATGCAAGGACAAGCAAGTTATAATTAAAAATTAATAGTTATCTAACCTTAATTTATTAACCTAACAAAATACCTTTATGTTTCTTTTCAATGTATTAAACATAGACCTATAAACTAATGGACAGGCGGTTAGCGCTTTCCACTCCGCTCTGCCATCAATGCTAGGCGATCATACAACCATATAACAGAGAGAGAAAGAACATAAAGTAGTGAAGGAGCACCACACTTCGATTCTTTTCTTGCTCACACTATATCCTACCCCTGACCTCTCTATATAAGTGCTGTCAATTACTTTATAGGTCCATGGATTTAAATATTGAATTAAATGTGGAAATACAAATTTTGTTTACGTTAAAAGTTAGAAATTAATTTCATTAGGTACTAAAACAAAACAAATTTACTGATACAAAATTTGTATTCATAGTTTTGAATTGTCATACATAACAGGTTTTTTTCCAGATATGTGATGCAAAGCTCAGAATTTTAAACGTTAATGCAATTTTTCCTGGGTCTACAAATGATTCATTTATATGGAACAGTTGTGATGTACTTCCTGTAGTAGAGCAACTTTATACAAATGGTCAACAAGGATTTTTCTTTTGGGTACCTATATAATTGAAACTGATTTAATTACCTAACAGATCTTACCACGTATGATTAGAAATTATAATAAAAGTTAATATCTGAGAAAATATTGGTAACCAATCGAGGTTTGATGATGAAAGCATTAAGAAAATGAAAATTATGTTTGAAAACCCATGAATAATTTTGTAATAAAATATGCATTTTTCAGGTGATTCTGGATATGCATTACGCCCTTGGTTATTAACACCTTTTAATAATCCAGTTACTGATGTTGATCAGTACTATAATAAAATGCAAATGTCAACTCGAAGTATCATAGAAAGAAGCAACGGGGTTCTTAAAATGAGATTTAGGTAGGATTGAAAGTTAATATTAGTTTTTATCTACCTGTATAATATTGATTATGTTATTTTTCAAATACTTTTAGATGTCTTCTTAAACATAGATTTCTTCATTATCATCCAGAAAAATGCACTAAAATTATAAATGCTTGCACAGTATTACATAATATATGTATAACAAACAATGTACCATTGCCAGTAGAAGAAGGGCCAATAGACATTGATATGGGTATAATTTAACAACAAGGTGGGCCAATTATTGATCAGCGTTTTGCAGGCAATGATTTGGTCCAAGGTAGACAAGTACGTTCAATAGTTGCAAATTATTTACAAAGAAACAGATTGCATTTATAAGGAACATATTAATTTATTATTTTAAAAAGCAAATGTAAACCTTTTAATAGTAAAAACTTGATATTATTTATACTTTACTATTAGTTATTACTTATTACTCATTAGAGATCTACTTATATTATTATTGAATGTCAATAAGAATTATATTTATATTTATTATTTCTTTAATGTATTATTGATATTTAATTATTAATATTATTAGTTTATTTATTATTATTTTAATTTTAATTTCTAATGTCTATTAAGTATTATACTATTATGTATGTAAAAATTAAATAAAAAAGAAAACATGTTATTAGATTAAATAAAAAATGAAAAACTAGTAAATAAAATTGTTATTTAAAATTTTAAGAAAAAATGAATTACTTTTAAGTATTAAAATAAAATAAGATAGAATTAAATGATTTAGAAAAATAATAGGTTAGTTAAATTCTGTTTGTTAATGCAACTGCAATGTGATTAAAAATGTAATTTCTTTGTCTCAATATTTCATTTTGTTCTCTCAATAACTCTAACTTTTTTTCATTATAACTGGCTTTTAAAGCAAGTTTTTTTTTTCCAAGAGAAACAAGATTTGCTGCATCACTGTTACCATCATCTAATCTTCGAGCCGTAGTTGATTTTTTTGTCTTTCTTTTATTTGTAGCTTTAATTTCTAAATGCAAAAACAGATAAATTAAAATAAGTTTAATAATAATGATACTTTTTTGTTATTGTACTAGGTCAGGTTAATTTTAGTTTAGTTTTACATGATAATAGTCAATACAGATGTAGAAACATCTATACAATTGTGTAACATTTAAGTATCAGTACAACAACAAAAAAGTAACATAATAATTTTTAAATGGAAAAAATTATTGGATATATACTATCATTTGATTCTTCAATGGATGAAACAGGATTTAAGTCAGGATTCTTTGGAGAATTTGGAATGATTGGAGAGGATGTACCAAAGGAAGGACTTTTTAAAAAACTGTCATCGACAGGCTGTCATCGATCTATCATCTGGTTGTACAACTATTATGTTGTCATTGTTTACAATGTCAACACCCTGCTGTTCACCAAATGAAAAATTGACTTTGGATGTCTTAGCTGTTGTATGGCCTGAAATGCTGGTTGGATTAATAAGTTCCAATACATCATTTTCAATACATCATTTTCTACAACAGTCAGTGTAGAACATGGTGTATTATGGCCAGTTTTTCTTTGTGCTGCTCTAATCATTGCCTGTTTGGTCTTAGCTTTGGTTCGATTATCTTGAAAAGTCTAAAATATTTACAATCATGTAAGTAAAAATAATAACTAATACTACCTACACGGCTACACTACTCTTAACCAAAAAAACTCACTTTACGCCATTTATTCCAATTTTTAACGGCTCCGGGCATTGTATTTAGAGACTCAGCAATTTCCTCCCAACGTTTTTGAGCGGTTTTAAACGTAAAACTACTGCTAAATTTTCCACTTAGCAACTGTGGATCAAGCTTCAAAAACCCGTTCAAAGCTATCATCTGATCCACAGTTGCTCGACCTTTAATGTCGTTTGCCATTATATTACAACTTAGTAGGTAGTAGGTACTCGAAGTAATAAAACAGATCAAATATTGGCTCAAAAAATAGCTCAATTTAAAACAGCTGACTGACACGATGAAGAAGAACTTAGTACCTATTTAAATGTATAACAATGAACAAAAAAACTAGGTAGGTAGGTACCTAATTAATTTATTTAGGTATTTTTTTATCGATTTTTATTGATTATTATGTATTATGCAATTATTATTATCGCTCGTATTATTGTTATCAGTCGATATCTACGTGATAGTAAGTATACCACAATCGGTTCATACGACTTATACTAATTTGGCTCCTGTTATACCCGATTTTTATAACTACATTGATGCTTTTGATCAACAAAATCTTGAACAACGAAATGGTAATTTATTATTAAATAACTGTTTATTTAAATTCAGTTGTTTTATTATAAATAAATAAATAAATAAATTATTAATACATTAAATTATTATTTATCATTTAGAAATTACATTTTTATTTAAAAAAAAAAATTATTAGATGTTATGGAAATGGAATACAATGAAATAATGGCTACTCCGCTTAATGTGGGACACCCCACAACTGATGTTCATACATGGGGATTTGAAAGTGATGAAGAAGATGAAGGTCACCCAATGCATATGCTACCAACCTATAGATTACCTGTGAGTCACAGAAGAAAAGGGACTCTTTCGAAATGGCGAGCAATAAATTCAAAACCGAAACCGCATCCATTTACTGGCAATCAGCACGTTACAAACTAAGTAACCGAAAACTCCACTGAGGTAGAGTGTTTTCAATTATATTTTCCGCAATTTATTGTAAAACTTATTAAAAAAGAAGCAAATAGATAAGCATTTTCGGTAATTCGTTCCCTAAAAAGACGTAATATTTAAAAAAAAAAGTTAGTTTGGCATAAGTGGAAGCCCTTAAATATTTCCGAAGTGTATGAATTTTTTTCCATAATTTTACACATGAGTTTGGTTGAAACATTAAACCTTATTTATCAACTAACCTTGTATTACAAACAACATATGCTTCTAAACTTATCATAAATAACGATAAATATGTTCGGAAAGGTCAGCCTGGCTATGACAGCTTATATAAAATTAGATCGTATGTAAATTTTTTAAACGATAAAATGTCAACATTATATTATCAGGGGCAAAATATTACTGTTGAAGAAGGGGTGTGTCCTTTTCGCGGAAGAGTATATTTTAGGGTGTATATGAAGAATAAACATGAACAATACGGTATGAAATTATACATTGCTTCTGACCCTCTAACAGGATACACATTAAGTTTTGAGATATATTCTGGGAAAGGACAGGAAAATAATTCTATTATATCTTTATATAGTCGCTTATTAAAACAGAATTTTGACAAAGCCCATACTATTTACATGGATAGATTTTACACTAGTCCTTTGGTATAAGAGTATCTTTGGGATAATAAAACGAACGGTGTAGGAACGGTGATGGCAAATCGTAGAGGACTTCCAAAAGATACACTAGTTAACGTTAAATTAAAAAAAGGTGAAATGGCTTTTGGTAGGAATGGCCCACAAATTTGCATTAAGTGGAAAAACACGAAAGATGTTCTTGTTATGTCAACATGTCACTCGGCTGACATGGCACCTGTGACTGTCAAAGCTAGAGGAGGTCCAATACAAAAATTTAAACCCGTGGCCATCATCGATTATAATAAATATATCAGATGATCACCTACTACCCCTTCAAACGCAAAACTTTATAGTGGTGGAAAAAAAAGTTTTTTTTATTTATTTAAAGTTAGGGTAAGCTCACATGGACCACTTTAGAACATCGCTACGACCGCAAAACGGTGGTCGCTCGTTTTTGATATTTTAAAAACATAAAATAATATGAAAAATGTAATTGAACTCAGACGGGCCACTTTCTACCGTCAGTTTCGACTTCAGTCGCATCGTGTCGACTGTATTACTCACGAAATTGTGGTCGTTCGGTTGAGCGTAACACACATATTGCGACACGTCAACTACTTTCCGACCACTTGCCACCAGCACACAAATTTTATCATTATTATTTTATATTTATAGAAATATCATTTCTATCTTTATATCATTGTTATCTTTATCTTGTATCATGTAATCTATACATATATTATTATCATTATTATTTTATGACTAGTGTTATGAAATTTGTCGATTGGTTGAGTTGGTTGAGTTGTTGTTCAGTAGTTCACGTGTTCTGTGTTCGATACGAGATAAATTATGAGCGAACAAAGTGAAAACGACGACGCATTTGACACAGAATTGTTTATCGAAGAATTGCATAATTTACCATGTATTTGGGATTATACTTCAAATAGTTATAGTAATCGTATTACAAAAGCTAAAGCTTGGGAGTCTCTTTGTCTTAAATTGTATAATGATTTTGAAGCGAAGAATCAAAAAGACAAAAATAACTGCGGTAAGAACTATTTATTTAATAAATATAATTTAATATTACACATTATTAATACTAGATACTTATTACTCAATACAAATCACATATTATTTATTTCTATATTACATTGTATACTGCCAATGTAATTCACTTTCTGGACTTATAAAATAGTCGGCAAATTTATCTCTGACTAAATTCACTGACCTGCCTACACGATATTCTTCGCTATTTTCAAATGGTATAAAATCCGGTGTCATTAGAGTATCTTCGTAGTTATAACTTGCTTTCGTACTATATTATGAAATACAACACATGCTTTAACAATATCTTCTGCGAAGTCAACTGCCACATTGAGTGGTCTATGGAAATATTCGCCATTTATTCGCTAAAATTCCAAACGAACATTCGACGTATCTGCGTGCTCTGGAAAGTCTATAGTTGAACACACGTTTTTTTTCCGATATCTGCCTTCCACTATATGGCCGTAACATATGTTAATTTAACCCAAAAGCTTCATAACCAATAAATACGTAAGGTAAGCGATTTCCATCCATGCTGATTATTTCGGGATCAGGTAGATCTAATTCATTTTTTTAATTTTTTTTTATATAAGCTGCTATCCTTCCATATTGTTGAATCTGACGTTTTGCCATAAGCTCCAATATCAACATATGTGAATAAGTAATTTGAATCGCAAACTGCAAGTAATACGATTGAAAAAAAATGTTTATAATTCCAGTACAAGGACCCACTATTTGGTGGGAGAATGATACGTATATGCTTTCCATCCACGGCTCCAAGGCAGTTGGGAAAGTTAGCTCTTGATTTAAATTGTTGTGCGATATCTTGCCATTTTTCTTTGTTTGGTTTTGATAAATGAATAGGTTGTAATTTAAACCATATCTGACGGCACACATCTCTGACAATTTCACTTGCAGTTGTGGAACCACATCTATATGTATAGTGGAGCTCTTTAAAAGAACATCCGGTTGCCAAATATCTGTAACAATATTTAGGTATCGCTGATTAGGTAAACACTAAATAAATAATTAGTTATTAAATTCCCAAAACAATCCGTGTATTGCATATAGATTATCTTTTATGAACTTTTTTTTTCAAATCATTCTTAGTGAAAACTATTTCAATTATTTTTTTTAATTATTGAAATAATATTTTTTTTTAATTTAACTTATTATTTAAATTTTTTATTAGGGGTCATATTTCAAAGAAAATGGAGAAGTTTAAGAGATTCGTACAACAGATAATTAAAAAAAAATAAAGAAGTAAAGAGTGGATCCGGTGCTTCTAAGCACAGAAAATATTTATACTTTGATAATTTATCTTTTTTAAAACCTATCTCTGAGAGTAGAGAAACATCAAGTTCGATCGACGATACTCATCAAAATGAAGGTGAGCAACTCATAACAGATAACTGTTATGATAAAAGTCAAAACGTGACTAAAAAAAGGAAGACGACAAAAAACACAGATAAGGAGACTGAGCTAATTACAAACTTATCACACCGTTTGTCAGAACGTATGAGCAAAGAAACTGAAGCGTTGAATAATATTGATAGTGATAAGCATTTTTTACTGTCATTATACGATCGTTTCAAAGCCATTGATAATAATATGAAATTTCAAGCCCAAATTGAGATTATGAATGTAATACAAAAATATAGTCCACCTAATCCTCAAAATTATAATTATGAGTCCTTTGGTAGACGTTTTGAAAATGTATCAGCTCAAGTATATAACACCGACTATGAATCAAGACAGTATCAGATGTATTCACACACACAATATCCTAGCCATATCGAACCTTCTTCATTTCGAGCACCTACAAGAGTGAATCGGGTGAATGTACCAGACATATCGCCAAATAGTATTCAATCAATCACTTCCACAATGCTCAAAGCATTACAACCCATGCCACCGATGATGATAACGATTCAATTTTATCAAATATTTTCAATTAAAGTTATGATATATAATATTATTTAATGTAATATGTATGTATAATAAATATATTAAAAACTACAATAAATAAGTTAAATAAATATTATATACCTTTTAGTAAGTGCGAGACGTTCGTCCGCTGGTATGCTTTTTCTCATGGTTGTGTCTGTTCGTTTTATAATGTCCGTTAATGAATTTTTACTCATTCTAAAATAATTTAAAAATGTATCATCATACATTCTTAATGAATTATATAGCAAATTAAATTGGCTTTCATTTTTATTTTCAATAATAGGATGGACCCAAAATTGTCTCTTCTTACGACGTCGCATTCTTCGCTGTAATAAAAGTAATAATAGTGCTTCCTCTTCAAAGTCCATTTTTACACTAAAATTAAAATTTTTACATGTAAATTAGAAATAAAGAACGTACGTCATATTTGTGGTTACGGTGTCGTTATATTGACGTCGGTTAGGAACTCTAACGACTACAAAAATGTTGTTCAATAGTGGTCGATTTCGCCGACAGTACAACTACATTATAACCACAAAAAATCGATCACGAGTGGTCCGTGTGAGCTTACCCTTAGTGTGGTCAATAGTTTCATAATATATAAGCATTATGCCTCACAAAATAAATATCCCTGTTTGAAAACGCATATGCTCAATCTCTGTCAACAAATGGCCGAGAAATAAGGTGAAACAATTGAGACTGACAAGGGATATGAGCCAAATAATGTTGATAAGCTTACTGGTAGACATTTTATAAAAAAAATTCCACCTACATCAAAGAAAGCTAACCCTCGTAGGACGTGCAAAGTGTGCTCAAAACAAATTAAAACGGGAAAATTAGATCGCTGTAAAAAAGAAACGTCATACTATTGTCTAATTTGTGATGTGCCGCTTTGCATTGACAATTGTTTTGAAATTTATCACACAAAAAAAACAATATAGGTAAAAATATATAAATTATTATTATATTGTATCATTTAAAAAGGTAATAACCTATATTATAATATTGTTTATTGTTTTTTTTTTTATTATTTTATTAATATTGGGAAAAATATTTTAAATATTATTTTATTGAATCAACTTAAAAAGGTAATAAGGAATAACCTATACATGTTATATTATGTTTTTTTTTTTTTAAATATTTTATTAGTTTTTACGTAATTTTTTTATACGTATTTATGTAGTTACCTACTGTTAAACGTATTTATTAAAAATGTGTTCATTTATTATTTGTCAATGTATAATCATTATTTATAAATTTTGAAAATTTTGATTTTCAATTACGTTTCCTTGAGCACCTGTTGACCAAACTAGTATTATTATCTGAGGTCAAATTTATCTCTGTACTACTTCAAATAGGAAACAGTATTTGATTTTTCCAAAATATTAAAATTGAAGGTTTTTGGTTTTCGAAAATAGGTTCACCTAGATTCTCTAGGATATCTGTTTCCATTTACTTCAAACCAATAATTTACAATATTAGAATGATCAAAATCACTTGAATTAGTTTTTGATTGTTTATTTTATCAGTTTGTAAAAATGCAACACCAAACAAGGGAGGTTTATTATTTCGATAACTATTTGTTACCTACATCGATTGCTAATTTTTGTCCTGTAACATTTTTGTATTCAAGACATTGCCATTTCTTAAATGCCGAAATACTTTTTTCCTCTTGAGATAATTTAATTAAGCCAGCAACTATGTGAACTTTTGACAATTCATCTTATTCTACAGTTGGAACTAGACTTTTTAGTTCTAAAACATTAATTTTACCACACTTTGCTTCAAAATGTTCAGTGTCTTTTGTAGCATTAGTGTTTTTCGTTAGAATCAATGGATATTCATCATTATAACTCGTAAAAATTACATCAAATGTAGCATTGTAAATAGGACATTAAATATCTTTCAATAAACGTAAAACAAAAATTGATAGAGGAATAATATACTCACCTTGTCCTCCCACCTTAATAACAATACTGAAATCCTGAATTTTCTGTAGGACCACTTCCATCAACAGCATAAAATATAAGCATATACTGCATAATATTATAATAGTTGCATTTGTGGAATATTGAACTTTTTATATTGTTAGTATTCTACTGAGATTATTGTGTTGAAATCAATATGTGATCTTTTTATGGAATTAGAAATAGTTTTGAGATCTTTTTGTGATTTTTTCAGATTTTATTTAACTTATATTGTTGATTTTATTTTATTGATCTTTTTGAACATTGTTATCTAAACATTTGTTTGTGAGAACTTAATAGTAAAATGGGTTTTAAAGAGGGTTTTAGATAAGTGGGCTAGGAATGGCATACATACACTACTGATGTATATTGTTCACCTGATTATTTATGCACAGTACCCAGTCCTGAATGCGATAGTTAATTGCTATTCTACTTTAATTACAAGTATAAATCTAATGTAATGTTATTAATTATTAGTAGGTACATTATTACATTATGAAAATTTTGAAATTGTTTGATTAACCATGTTATAGCATAAAATATTTAATATTATATATTTTTACTAGGATACAGACTATGAAGTGGTTAATGTTTCAGCCTGCAATACGACAACTATTTATGATGTAAAGAGGGGTTATTTATTTAATATTATAACAAATAATTTATTTAATAATTTTTCTGTAGGATGATCATTACAATTTGGAAGAACTAACTCAAAAATAACCAGTATAAGGAAAAATTCCACCGATTAATTTTGAAATACCCGTAGAAAGTGTTACAGCAGGAAAAGATACAGGAAAAAGACCGCACGCTACCACTCCTAATTTAAATAGGAAGAAATCAACCAATTTCAGTAAGCTTAAGTCGTGGTTTCCTACAATCACGCGTGCATGATTGCGCGGTGCGCGATGCGTGATGGAAGTGTTTTGCTACGATGCGTGTTTACGACTGCGTGATTTGGAGTTTAGAAAATAGTCGTCAGTTGATGTTTAGTATTACATCAAAATGGACGTGGTTATGCTTTATAATATTTTGGAGGATGAAGCAGATGAAGAACTATTGCTACTTGCGAATCATTTCCGTAATGAAAATGATGAAATGTTTAGTCAACGGAGCAGGGAGGGTTGTTTCAGTACTTTAATTCAAAGGCGCCTAATTGACAATGAAACTAGATTCAGGGCATATTTTAGAGTGTCATTTGAATTATTTAATTATATACTTAATGTTATTAAAGAAGATATAAGAAGGCGTCCAAGTAATCGGATTAAGAAACCAATATCACCGGAAGAGAAACTTAGCGTCACTCTAAGGTAAGTAAAATTATTGTACTACAGGTATATTTATCAAAATAAGAAAGGGACAATAAATATTTAGGTAATTTTCCATTTCAATTATATTATTCTTACTGATATTGATAGAATGATTCATTTAAAAAATAAATACATATTATCTATTTAGAACTTGGAATATATCTAACCTAAGTCCTAACCACTGAGAGATAATAGTAATTAAAATAAAGGAACAAAAAATAATAAATATTTAAATTTACACCAATGTTATATGGAGATTTCATTTTAATAAAATAAAATATATATACTAACTTCGTACCAATCTGGTAATTTTCAAACTATAAAATATCAAAAAATAATTTTTTCTCAAAATAAAAAATAAAATAAAATAAAACTGTGCATGAAAAATTTTAAACTTGCTTAATAAAAAAAAAAAAATTAATATTCATCGATATATTGTAAATAAGAAAAATTGGAGTTCGCAGATGGAGTAGGATTTGAAATGTCTGAAACACTTGACATCGTAGTGGAACTCAAAGATTCATCGGCAAGTATTGTAGGAACTTGCAGATTCGATGAAAATGTTGATGTTGATGTCATTGTTTCTACAGGTGGTGTACTCGTGGTAGCCTTTGTTTTTAATAAGCGTAATTCCATTTCGGAAACAATGTTAAATATTCTCATTTTGGCTTCCACGACTGATTCTGGAGGAAATGTTGAAACCGTTGACGCCATACTTTTAAAAAAAGTTTGAATTGGATCAATAGATTCTTGTTGTTTCATTTCTCTTAACGCCGCCAATCGCTCCTCTCGACCTTTTTTAATTTCATCTAATATCTTATCTTGAGCTCTTCGTGCTGTTTTTTTTCGCACGGTTTTCTAAATGAATCTATCAAACTATGGTTTATTTCTGTATTCGGTAGTTTGTCATCAATGGGCATATCTAATAATGGTTCAGAACTTTTAAGTAACAGTTTCTCTTGCTCGATTTCTTCAGTTTGGTCAAAACTATCATTTACGGCCATTTCTGAGTAGTTTGTGTTGTCATTGCAGGCTATTTTTTCTACTGAAAATGTTCGATGTAGTTCTGAAAATAATGAAATAACACATAAACATAAAATAAGGTTTAAAAATTCAATACAATATAATACATAATATTATACGACATATATTTTTTTTTACCTTCTTTCGTTTTCGATATTATCTAAAAAACTTAATGAATCGTCATTGTACTTCGATTTTGTTGTAGCTGCTGAACCGGTACCTAATCTTCGTTTCTTTAAATTTTTTTTATATGAATCTCTTATTGTGCGCCATCTTGTCTTGCAATCATTTACTGAAAATAATTTTAGTGTATTATATTTTACAGATTTTTAGCAACCGGTGAAAGTTATAGATCCCTTGCTTTTCAATTCCGAATATCTCACAGTTAGATAAGTACTATTATAAGGGAAGTATTAGTTGCTATTTTTCATCGTTTAAAAAATATAGCAATACCTGAACCAACGCAATGTAGTTTGTCGAAAGTAGCCAACGATTTCTATGAAATGTGGAATTTTCTGAATTGCTGCGGGGCCATAGACGGGAAGCACATACGGATCGTTTGCCCTGATAACACTGGATCGCTGTTTTTTAATTACAAGTCGTTTTTTTCAATTGTGTTATTGGCTTTAGTTGACGCGAATAACAAGTTTATGGTGGTAGACATAGGATCGTATGGTAAAGAAGGCGATGCAGGAATTTTCCCTAAATCTAATTTGGGCAAATCAATATCAACCGGAGAATTCAAATTTCCAAAACCAAAATGTTTACCAAATACTGATGTAGTCTTGCCGCATGTATTTGTCGGTGACGAAGCATTTAAATTGACGGAGACAATGATGAGGCCTTATCCCCGAAACCAATCAAAACTAGATCCAAAGAAAGCCATTTTTAATTACCGCCTAAGTCGAGCTCGAAGAACCACAGAAAATACGTTTGGCATAATGTGTCAATACTTTCGTGTATTTTTCACTCCAATTAATATTCTGCCTGACACAGTTGACAATTTAATAATGGCCGCATGTATTATTCATAACCTGTTACGAGAAGAACGTATGGTGTGTCCTACGGATTCGACAGACAGAGATCCCATAACAGACGTTCAAACGAACACGAACATGATACAATTTGGTGCAGTTGGAGGAAACGCAACACATGAAGCTTTTCGAGTTAGGGAAACTTTTAAAGATTATTTTAACAGTAGGTCAGGATCAGTGAGTTGGCAGCAAAAACACGTGATAATTGAGATAGTGTTGTTATATATTATATTGACTGTTTACAAAAATTATTAGTAGTCCAAATTTGATTTAACTATTTTCATATATTCAGTATAATATTATTTATAATGTAAAATTAAGTTTATTATTATCAACTAACATATTATTCTAAGTTATAAAACCAAACATTATATGTATATAAGTTTATTTTCGGTCACTATAAATTATCACATATAGATATTATTATACTAAAATATTCTGTATTATTAGAAATGTAAATTATTTAATTTTAGATAAGGTTTTATTCAGTCATATATTGATATTCTATAAATATCAAATTATCTTGACTGTTGTCTCGTATTCGCTATTCAAGAACAAACAATTTGAATCACAAATCATAATATTGTCTTATATAATATTACTATCTTACTATCTTTTTAACTATATAATTTATATTAATTTTCTAATGACATTACATACCGTTTTTTACAATGGACTGTGAAATTTCTTTCCAAACATTATCTTTAATGCAATTGTCCTTATAATTTTTGTCACTCAATTTATAAATGACAGGATAGTTACGAATAACTTCTATGAGTTTTTCGTCATCCATAACATTAAATGACCTCGACTCCATAGTTCACCAAAACTAATTTAAAAAAGACATTGAAAATATTTGTAATAATTTACAAAAAAAAATTATTTGTTATTTATACAGTTTATATTTCAAAATTATTCTTACTTACTTCTACAGTTCTACCTGCCGTTTTGACTTGATATTGGTAATACAAATCAAATAAAACATAAAATACAATAATATATTAATTAAATAATATATTAAAATAAATGCAATCCCGCGATGCGTTTCACGCAGAAGTTGACTTCATGGCGACAGCTGCGTGACTGAAGTGCGTGAATCGACAATCGCGCGCGTGAATTATTAATAAACACTTACATAGTTTTTCGTGGTTTCAACTTTTGCGCGATCACGCATCACGCATCGCGCATCGCGCAATCACGCAAGCGTGATTGTAGGAAACCACGGCTTTAAATAATGCACAAATAGAAGAAGTGTAATTAACATTTAACTATACTAAATGTTATTTAGGAGGCAAACAGCAGTCAACACGTAAAGGAGCACAGGAGAAAATGGTTGAACTGCATGAGCAGGAAATATAACTCCGTCAGCAGGAGATTGAAATTGTAATGAACCACAAGTTGTATAGTTTAACTGAATGATGTTTATTGATATTTATTGTTTTTTTTTTTTTATTGAGTAAAAAGACAATCTACAATCTATACAACAAAAATGCACATTAATTAGATGATATAAAAGAATACAAAACAAACAACAATGAATATTATGATTTTGGGGAATTACACAGTGGTAACACCCAGCATATTTATTGTTACAACATTGTTTTCATCAATCTTTTTTACATTATTTTCTCTTGAATATAAATTTTTACTCCAAAGAGTTTACAATGAAAATAAGTATCGAGGGAATTTACATAGAATGGTGGGAATTGATTTACATGCAACTTACGGTTGTTTTCCGGAAGTTGATTGAGAATTGTTTCCGTCGTGGCTCATGATTTTGGACAACGTACGGAAATGGTATCGTGGGAGCCATAGGCGCCAGGTACATGGGTGCCCGGGGGCTCAAGCACCCATTAAAATTATTATGGGGTGCCGGGCACCCATTAGAATATTGAAAATGTATAGAGTGTATTTATTATTTATATCCAAGTTTTGACAATTTTAGCAAACGACTATTGAAATACAATTCTAGCTGTGATCTTTTTCAGCACTTCGAAGATTAAAAACATTTTTAAGGTCTACAATCAAACGAAATCGTCTTAACGATATTTGCTTTATTGTTCGTCCGTCGTAATGAAGATATAGACATTGATAGCTAAGAGCTAACTCATTTATAAATTGAATTATAATAATAGCCAATAGGTAGGTACGTCAAAGCATATTTATTTTCTGAACAGTCAAATTAAATTTATTTTATTTTTTGTTTTACTTATTATTATTATTTATAAATAAGTTCCCAATTTGGTATACATTTATTTTGTTGTATAATTAATATATTTTATAATCAATGATGATCGCATATTTCAGTGTACAACATGGTATATATTATAATTTAATATTTGTATACACCAAAAAAATCCATAAGAAAATGCAAACGTTTTTGGTGAAGTAGTAGAATCATGACACCTATAGGCGAAATTTGGAGAGCAGCCAAAATTAAAATTTTAGGGGGTTAAATTGCAACTAGCCCCACCTGAAAAGACAATTCCATTTTTTATATTTTACGAGGAAATTTGTCTTGACCAGTGGCTAAGCCCCCTCCCCCAAAATTATGTATTTATGCCTATGTGGCTATGTTAGTATGATACCAATGGTACCAAGGCACCCATTAAGTTTTTTGAAACCTGGCGCCTATGGTGGGAGCCCCAAGTGAAGTCGGAGTGGCTTGGTGACGTCCTGGTATTTGATTGGCACTGGTCGTTGACTGACCGCGGCGGCTTTGACGTGACAATCGACGGTTTTGGTAATATATATTGGTCAGTGGTGGCTCGTCCTTGGCGATGTCTTCACGACTGGACACAATATATATAAGTTTCGGCGGCTCGGCTCTGACGGCGGCGGCGCGAAATACAAATAAACAGTGAATGTACGTTTTCGGCGGCTTGACTCTGACAGTGGCGGCGCGAAATACAAATTAGCAGTGAGTGGGCGTTTAGCTTAATATAAGCTATATTGCTACAAACTATGATAACAATTTTGAATGATTATCAAATTGAATACATTTTCAATTGCATTGAGGGAGTCTGCGTTCAGAAATATGTCCAAAACGGCCAAGCAAAAATGGTCCTGCAGTAAATGCAAATCAAATGAGACTAATTTGAATCAACCGGCCGCAAAAATTGTATCAATCGAAAAACATACGGACTCAATCAATGTGAATAATGAAACTATTAACAATCTAGTTAAATCGGTAAATTTTATGAGTGATAAATTTGATAGTTTCGGCAAGCACTTAAAAGAGTTAGTTACAACAATTAATTATATCAAAGTAGAAAATTATTTTTTAAAAGAAGAAAACTGTAAACTAAAAAATGAAGTTGCTCTATTAGACAAACGAATGAACGTTTTTGAATAAAAGCAATTGAAAAATTGGTGGAAATTGTGGGTGACCCGGAGGTTAACAATGAAGACTGTATAAAAACTGTAGAGTCAATCCCGGCAGCTGTAGGAGCAAACATTTCCGTTACAAAAGCATACCGTGTTCATTTAAACTTCACAAATAGATCCAGAAAAATTGTCGCAGAGTTGCTGTCAATTTAGGACAAGAAATCTATGATGGATAATGTCAAGAAATAAAAGTTGAAGGGTAAAGTAGGTAGTTAATACAAACTGGAATGATGAGAATATTTATATTAACGATAGTCTCACACAATTCAATAAAAATTTATTTTTCAAAACTAGAGCATTTGCTCGTGATACAGGATACAAATTTGTGTAAATACAGTGTAGACTTTTTTGAATATGATTTTGTTGAAACTAATATTGTTAAACTAAATATTACTAATTTAGGTACACCAATTATTTTATTATGTATATTTAGATCTCCCTCAACTGATATCAATGTGTTCAATGATACGGTAATTAAAGTTATAACAGAAAATAAAAAAAAGGTTTTTACACCGTGCTTATCGCGGATATGAACATAAATATAATTGGGGACAATACTCTAAATAATGATTATCTTAATTTACTGTCGGAAAACGGGTTTGCGTCTTTCATTAAGGTTACCCATCGGGCAAAAACACGCATGTCTTGAACATATATTTGTTCACAACGAAGAACACTTAATTACTCAGATAAACGCAGGTATATTACAAACAAATATAACCGATCATTTCACAACTTGCGTATCAATACCTATAACCACTGGTTTGACAAATAACAGTAAAATTATTTCTATCATTGATGAGTAAACTTTTATTTGATGAAAAATGTACGGAAGTTTTTCGGAGTTTCTGAAAATAATATCTACTAATATCAATTAAGTAACTACTTCTAAAAAATTTACTTCAAAATATTTTCGATTAAAGGAATGGATGTCAGCTGGTTTGCTATGCTCGACCCGCAAAAAACATTCCTTATCTCTAAATCTTAGAACAACTCCAAATAATACTAAATTAGCCCTACACTATAAAAAATATAAAAATAAATATACGCAAATCTTGAGACTGGCAAAAAAACCTTTTATGAAAAAAAATTTAAAAGTGTTTCAGACAATCCTAAATTAACTTGGAAACTCATTAATGCAATTTCAGGCTCTAAAATTAATAGTAAAGATGACATTAAAACTGTAGTCTTTAACGAACAAAATACGATGCCAACAATGATCGAAAAAATTTTATTGCACTGCTGTCTTCTTAGACATATCCCAGGCCTTCCACCGAGTATGGCACGAGGGCCTTCTGTTCAAACGTCGCAATATTTTACCCCCACCGCTCTTTCTTTTAATTAAATCTTACCTTACTAATCGCCACTTCCAAATACGTAACGGCTCATCAACTTCAAATATAGCCCCAATTTTCGCAGGTGTACCTCAAGGAGCAATCCTCTCCCCCTTATTATTTAACATATATGCCTCTGATCAGCCAACAACTCCAAGCACCTCTGTTGCCGAATAAACAGATGATAAAGTAATTTTTTCAATTCATAACGATTCGATTATAGCCTCTACTAATTTACAGTCTCATTTAAATTTACAATCCGAATGGTATGAAAAATGGCGTGTAAAAGTAAATCACAGCAAGTCGGTTCATACAACTTTTACCCTTAGACACGGCTAATGCCCAAATGTTTCAATTAATAACATACCAATCCCACCACTCAATGCTGTAAAATATTTAGGATTAATCCTTGACCAAAAATTAACTTGGAACAAACATATAAGAGCTAAAAGATTGATCCTTAACGATCGATCTAGATCACTAAAAACAATATTATCAAAAAATAAATTTACGAGCTTAAAAAAAAACTACAGGTAAACAATCGTCCGGGTAACTTTTCTTCGATTTTTTTTTTCTGAAAAAATAACAAACATAGATGTTATCAACATAATAAATAATTCCAAAGATGATTCAGCTGCAGGTATAGACAAAATAACAATTAAATTATTAAAAATGTATTACTGAACTTATAGTGAACCCACTAGTATATATATTCAACTTATATATACAGCAAAGTAATTTTCCAGACAATCTTAAAATAGCAATTATCAAACCAATATTTAAAGCTGGTGACCGCTAAAATCTAAATAACTATAGGCCGATATCCTTACTTACTAATTTTTCCAAAATACTTGAAAAAATAATTAAAATTAGACTAATCTCAATCCTAGAGAAAAACCAACTGTTATCGAAAAATCAATATATATTTAGACCAGGTATTGGCACAGAGGATGCTCTATTTAGTACGACCCAATTTATTTTCAATGAGTTAGATAGCAGTAACAAGGTGATTGCGGTATTCTTGGACCTAAAAAAGGCATTTGATACTGTTTATCACAAAATTTTACTTCACATATTAATAATCTTAGCTTAAAAT